CACAAATTGAACATGATATTTATATATCTGAATCTATAGGCTTTCTGCATGCTATGTTCGCCCATCTTTATTTTCATTTATAATCCTATGTAAAACTTTCATCACCTTTTGTGGCCTCATCCTACCCCTGTGGGTCATGATTTGAATTAAGCTTTCTTGTTTCATCTTTTCTGGTCCAGTGGTTCTTGAGAAGTGGATTTTTAAGAGGCCACTGAATTTTCATTTATTCAAAATTATCTCCCTTTGAAAGAGGGCATGGTCCTTCATTTAAAAAAAAAAAACTTGAATTCCCATCACCTAAGAATGCTTTGTGGCAAGTTTTATTGAAAATGGCCTAGTGGTTCTGGAGAAGTCAAAAATTATGGAGGGTAATCGTGTTCAAAAATCCAGACTTGTAAGTTTGTAAATTCAAACTTGTAAGTTTGTAAATCCAAACTTGTAACCGACATACTAGCATGTAGTTCCGAACATACAACTGTGTTGACTTTGATTTTATACTATGAATGTTTGTATTTTTGATGTTGTAAACTTTGTTTTCCAGAATTTATATTTCCGCGCTCTGAATAAAACACAAAGACAAATGACAAGTCTACAAATGTGAAGTCTACACATTTGTCGAATTTTGATAATGAGAACCTATGGAGAGTCATCAGTGCCACAATTATTTTTAATGGTCTTATTTTCTTTTTTATGCTAACTTTTTGATTTCCAAATTAAATTCTTCATTTTTTATTTCTTACTTTAATTCTTACTTCTTGAAGGCGCGGATCTAGAAGGGGGTCCGGACCCCCCACTCCCACCCCTTCCCCTGAAATTTGCAGACTTATTAAATGTTTATACTAAACGAACTAAAAGTGACCTTGGACCCCCCTCAAAAACGCTGATCTGTGTTAAGTTGACGACTACCCCCCTCCCCCCAACACACACGCGCGCGAAATAGGTTTTTCATGCTTGGGAAAGGAGTTTACTTTTTTTTGTCAAGAAATTTCTGGGTTGGATTTTTTTGGACTGGAAAGGACCCCCCTGGATCCGTGCCTGTTCTTGCTTATATTTTCCACTTTTATTTTATCTTATTTATTTTATTATGGCAATGTTGATTCCTTTCATATTTTGATTCTATCTTAAAATTTCAATTATGTTTGACTTCACCTAACTTAATACTTAATTTTTTGGGTAACAACTATATGCAAAATCGTAAGTTTGTTTTAGAAAGTAGAACTTACAGAGTTAAACTAGGAAATCCGAATAAAATTTAAACGAAAAGGGGCGCTACGGCCTTTTATGTACAAGTACACAGAGATCTTGGCAAACAGTCTAGCTACGAAACGTAGAAACATTTCCATTTAACATATTTTTTTTTTCATTTTAAAAACCATATGATATCGTTCTTGCGTGTTTTCTCTCGTTTTCAGGCCCGTAGGCAGCATTTTCATTGGGTGGGGGTGGAGCAGTGGGCACAAAACGAAAATTTCTTGATACCCCCCCCCAATGAAACATTCCTGTTGAGGGGGCACACTGACGAATTAGCCTTATTTCTTTTCTTATGTATTTACTGACAAAATTATTGAGGGGGCACAATCAGAAATTGTTTTTTTTATTGGCCAGGTATAGTATATACTGGCACCTTCACCCGACTTGCTACCTATGGACCTGGTTCGGGGCCATAAAACTTAGATGAGCTCACTTTTGATCCCAGTCTCTCTTTTCTACATACTATTAATTCCTTTGGTAAATGTGAGACTGTGATAAAAAATGAGCCCGTCTAAGTTTTTTGGCCCTGGTGCAAGATGTTTCAAATATGATAAATATGACCGCCATTTTTGATTGCTCCCTTAGGGTACACAAATATCAGGTATCTTTAAATTGATATTGTTATCACACTTTTTTTTTTTAAAGTAGGACAGAGGAAATTTTTTTTCACTAACAAATCTCAGGTCCGAAGTAGGAGGGATCGAAAGGTTGTGCTCCCAACTTTTTTGTGTGGAGAATAATCTTTTGCAGCTGTTTTAATATGAAAATTCATTTATAGGCTGTATGCCCGACCACCCCCACCCCCCTTATTTTGCAGTATCATTAAACTCTGGCAAATTCTTGCGTTGAAAAAAAGTTACTGAAAAGTTAAAGATATCCTAAACATCACCTCCCACGAAGGAGGAGTTTGGGCAGTTTATTTATTTATTTATTTATTTTTTTTTTATCGTCAATTTTTTTGGAGCCCCCCCCCCCCCAATAAACATTAATACGGATCTTCATCTACTGAATGGTTGTTTTCTTTTCTTTTTTTTTTTTTTTTTTTTTTTGAAATATGATATCATTGCAGTTACATTGGTTCTTAATAAACTGGGGCACTGATCACAGTAGCCTAGTGATTGGGCGCTAGCTTCGTAGGCCATTGGAGGGTAAGAGTTCGCTTGTCCTAACTTCCTAGTGCCGGCGGGCAAAATGTAAGACGTTTAACATACGTGTTGGTAATGACTATTCCTTCGGCATTGAAAGTGAAATTGAATAATTTTTCGGTTGAGGCCTTAAAAACCGAAGCCCCTCTAGATCCGCGCAAGCCGTGAATAAGCGGGTAATGATTCGTGTCACATCATCAAATAAAATAAAATTAAGAAGATAAAATAAAATTGGAACATATAAACAAAAAGTTAGAATTAAAATTAAATAACAAATTTAAATGAAAATATTAATATAAAATTGGAAGTAAGAATAAAAAAAGAAAGAAATCTAAATAATTTATTTCATTTGGAAAAAGAAGTTAGAATAAAAAAAGGGGGGGGGGGAAATGTGGCACTGATGCCCCTCCATAGTTTCTCATAATCAAAATTCGACAATTATGTAGACTTTACATTTGTAGACTTGTCAATTGTCTTTGTGTTTTATTCAGAGCGCGGAAATATAAATTCCGGAAAACAATGTTTACAACATCAAAAATACAAACATTCATAGTATAAAATCAAAGTCAACACAGTTGTATGTTCGGAACTACATGCTAGGATGTCGGAATTACCTACTTACATATGTAGACTATGAAACTGATACGCCTACAAGTTTGGATTTACAAACTTACAAGTCTGGATTTTTGAACACGATTACCCTCCATAAAAACTACCCCTCGAAAACCATTGACAATGGTTTTCTTGGGCTGAAAATGTTAAAAATTTACAGACAGATGAGCAGCTAGCTGGATGCTGGATAAATGTGATCAGAAAAGCTCATTTCAGCTCATGTAAGCTACTAAAAGAAAAATATGTATAAAATATAAAAATCAGAAATAAGTCTAAAATGAAGTGTTCTGTTTTTAAAAGATGTAACTTGCCTACTCAGAGTCACATGAATCTGCATATGAGGTCATATGAAATACTGGTAATCATTTACAAAATTTGTGAAATGAGTATATCAGGCAATGTGAGGTGGACACAAGGGAGGTCAAGCTCATAATTTTTTTTTTTTTTGCAAAATGAAATGCTTTCATAAACATGATAAACTTGTGTAGAGATTTTTGTAAGTGCATGAATTATGGCTTGATAAGTTTCATTGAAAATGAGCTCACTGCAAAATGGGACAGTCACACTTAATTATGACTGAAATAATACTGTCATTTTGAGTTTGTGCATCTGTTAAATCAAAATATAATATAGTAATCATTTCAGTATGATTATTATCATTACACCAGTCAGGGCTGTTGTGAGATCCTGTCAGGATTTATAAATACATGTATAGTTTAATTAATTCATATCCTCTTTACATCATGTTAACTGACCATTACATGTATTTTCAAATTGACAAGGATGTTATTATCATTTTCATGACATAAGTTGACTAAATGTAATACCATCAATATAATATTGCTATATTTAATGTTAAACTTAAGACTTGTTGATTTCTGGGGAAGCTAGTGTTTAACACATTTCAATTAACGGTAGTATTTAGAGCAATACCCATAAGTGACTGATGTAGGGAAGATTTATAAAATGCCAAATTTACTTATATTTAATTGTAAAAAAAAAAAAAAAGTACAAAAACCAAAGCAAGATATTTTGTGAAACACATTGGCAGTGCATGAGATGTTCTCTGATGACAAATTCCTTTTTGACCTTTAACCTAAGTAAATGACTTTGACCTGAAATAAAGCTCTGACCCTGAAATTCACACCAGTGTTTCAGTTTCCTTTAATACAATTCAAAAGAATTGACCCATGTTAAGCTTGAGAACAGATACAAAATTAAACAAAAATATTTCCTCCTTTAAAATCTTCAATAATGTATCATATGCATTTCAATGAATAATTTCAAATAGAACAATAATATGAAATTTCAGTATCCCTATCAAACAGCCATTTGACTAAACTGCAAACATTTGTAAGACTTCATCTCAACATTTTCACTATCTCCTGGAGGAACAACATTGTATGCCCCCCTGCATAAATGCTCTGACAAATGAAAAGCAGACACAATGATAATTTATAATTATTCATTTTAGAAATCAAATAAATAATGACTCCTTCCAATATTCTACTTATGCCTAAGCAATCCCAGCTGAACACAATGATCTGGTTTGAGTAGAACACATTTCTGGTATACAATAGTACAATAAGATAAAGATCTACTATGTGACCCCAAGACACATATCTAAATGCTGATTAATATGTGTTGCTAAGATGTCCTTACAACACACTGGACATTTACAGACATCAGTTTCCACTATATTAAATGGGGAAGACACTGGATTATCTTTCATAAATTCACTTGTTTTGAAAATATTTGGATCTGTACTAGAGGTGGTACATGAATTTTTCTCTGAAAGAGAAGCACCATTTTTATTGTTGTCCTCTTCTGATAAATCAATTGTCTTTTCCTTTGACTTGATTTTTTTCAATGGAGGCACAGGTTCTGGCTTCGGTAAAGGTCTTTTGCCTGAAATCTTGCCCAATGTCTTCTTCCTTACAGGATTTTGATACTTTTTGCCCCAAATTTCTCTCAGTTTGTTTTGGACATCACTCCCTACATTATCACAAGCTTTAGAAGTTGAGGGCGTGGAATTGGAAGACTCATTGGAGTTATCACAGATTTCTGTATCCTTGTCCTTAGATGTACATGTATTTTTTACAGAGTTTGAATCTCTGGGATTTGAAGCATCCAATGTTGAACTGTTTTCCTGGGATTCTAGAACACCACACAGGAGTTCATCATCGGAGTCCGATAACAAGTCTCGCAAAATAGCCTCGGGCAAGTCTCTCTTATCAAAACTGATGTCAGAACTAGAATTTCGCTGCTTCATGAGTTTCTTTTGTGGATCATCAATAAACAGTTCATCATCTGAGTCTGTGTCATAAAATTTTGGAGGATTCTTTACATTTGCTGCAGTCTTTTCTGCAACATTACTATGCTTAGGAGATTCTGAAGAACTGATGGGAGTTTCTGATGAACTGTTTTTCTTGGGTGACCTACTTGATAGTACATGGCCCTTTCCAAAGAAAGTTCTTATATCTTTGCTTGGACTTTTCTTTTCTATTGTTGAAAAAATAAGGTAACAATTTTCAGAAATACAAAGATGTTAGCATCTTGATGAATTTCTTTTCTTTGAAAGCATATAATCATTAAGATGTAGGATTGACTGTGATGTGCAAAGATTTATCATAATTAACCTGATTTATCCATTGCCTTTCCAACTTTGCCATCATCTTTCTTCTTTTTCTTCCCATAATTCTCAGGTTCCTTGACTTTGATAAATGTGCCATTACAGGAGTTCTGGTGATCTCTGAACCAGGGATCACGGGGTCCTGGAGGCCGGTTCATGGCTCGCTTCACATAACCAAAGTATGGTTTCCGGCTCTGACATGGTCCATTGCACCTCCACCAGTGTTGTCTGTACTCTGCCACTTCGTCATGAAATGTATGATATACCTAAATAAAAATGATATTGAATGATATATCTACAAAAGAATGGTAATGCTACTATCCAATGACATACATGTACCTAAATTATATTGTTTATACTACATGTATTACTGAATGATATATATACTGTAAACATACTTTTTTCCATGGAGTCATAATTTCCCTGAATCACAATTTCTGTTCAATCAGTAGTTAGAAAATGATGTGGATTTCTTAGTGCCACTATATGCCTTAAATGTACTTTAAGTACACTGGGACAAATTTCTACGGAAAATTAGTGACCACAAACATACTGTGGAATCATCATTGTTCGTGGGGGATCAATGTTTGTGGATTTCGTGGGTAGCCTTTACCCACGAATTAACGTCCCCACGAACAATGAAACATGCATACATTTAGCACAATTGATTTATTTATCTTAATAAAATATGCAAATTACCCATGAAATTACGTCCCCACGAACCAGTCAAATTTTGGTTACCCACGAACATTGACCCCCATGAACAATGATGATTCCACAGTAGTGTAAATAAATACTGCATGAAAAAAAGTATGTCTACAGTACTCTTATTGTACTATATATCTACATAAGATTTTTAATACTATCCTTGTATTATAATTAATATGCCTAAATCAGACTGTTGCCCTCTTTTGAGGTCAAAGGGATAGACACTATTATTAGGATTTATACTGGCATACGACAGGTAGTCTACAATATGATATAATACTTCATGGTTGTGATATGAAAAACATTATATTTATACTCATTTCAATAACTCAGGTTTTAGGCCAAAGAGAATTCACCTTAACCAAAAAAACAACAAACAAGATGTGTTTGTGAAACATTATGCCATTGATGGTACATGTAACACAATTCTGGAGTGGGGCGTAGACTACAGTGCAATAGTTATGGCCAATGTTAAAGTTTTTCATATGTAGGTCAAAAGTCACAGTTGAGGTCACATGATCAAAAATTTCTGTACCAATGAAGAGGTCTTGTCATAATGAACACTCATGTCAAATATTAAAGCCTTACCCTTGACAGCGCAATAGTTATGGGCTAGGTTAAAGTTGACGACAGACAGACAAACAGATGAACAGACAGACAAACAGACAAGCAGACAGACAGGACAAAAACAAAATACCCCTGGGATATTTCAATCCGGAGGCATAAAAAGAAAAAAAAAAACCAAGATGTTTGTGAAACACTGATGCCCCCATATGGCATCTTATGGGGAAGGTTAAAGTTTCTCAAATGCAAGTCGAAATCGAGGCCAAAAGATGAAAAATATTGGAACCCAAAGAAAGGTCTTGTCTTGAGGAATATACCTGTGAAATTTGAAAGCCCTAGCTGTAACTGTTCAAAAGTTATGGCAAAGGTTAAAGTTTTTTAAAAGTAAAGTAAAACGTCAAGGTCAAATTGTTGGTATCCAAAGAAAGATCTTGTCACAAGGATTACAGCCCTAGCATCAACCATTCAAAAGTAATGGCCAAGGTTAAAGTTTTTCAAAAGTAGGTCAAACTCCTATGTCAAGGTCAAAGGGTCAAAGTGGTTATGATCCAAAGGAAAGTCTTGTCACAAGGATTACATATGTAAAGTATGAAAGCCTTAGCACCAACCATTCAAAAGTTATGGCCAAGGTTAAAGTTTTTTCGAAAAAAGGTAAACTCCTATGTCAAGGTCAAAGGGTCAAAGTGGTTATAAGCCAAAGGAAGGTGATGTCACAAGGATTACATATGTAAAGTATGAAAGCCCTAGCACCAACCATTCAAAAGTTATGGCCAAGGTTAAAGTTTTTCGAAAGTAGGTAAACTCCTATGTCAAGGTCAAAGGAGCGGTTATAATCCAAAGGAAGGTCTTGTCACAAGGATTACATATGTAAAGTTTGAAAGCCCTAGCACCAACCATTCAAAAGTTATGGCCAAGGTTAAAGTTTTTGAAAAGTAGGTCAAACTCCTATGTCAAGGTCAAAAGGTCAAAGTGGTTGGTATCCAAAGGAAGGTGATGTCACAAGGATTACATACATGTATGTGAAGTATGAAAGTCCTAGCATCAACCATTCAGAAGTAATAACCAAGGTTAAAGTTTTTCAAAAGTAGATCAAACTCCTAGGTCAAGATCAAAAGGTCAAAGTGGTTGGTATCCAAAGGAAGGTCTTGTCACAAGGATTACATATGAAGTATGAAAGCCCTAGCTCCAACTGTTCAATAGTTATGGCAAAGGTTTTAGTTTTTCAAAAGTAGGTCAAACTCCTAGGTCAAGGTCAAAGAGTCAAAGAGGTTGATATCCAGAGGAAGGTCTTGTCACAAGGAATACACATGTGAAGTTTGAAACCATAAGCACCAACTGTTCAGAAGTTAACTTATGGCCAAGGTTAAAGTCTCATAAAATTTTGCAAAAGTGGGTCAAACTCCAACGTCAAGGTTAAAAGGTCAAATATGATTGTACCCAAAGAAAGGTCTTGTCACAAGAAATACACCTGTGAAATATGAAAGTCATAGCTCCAACCAATCAAAAGTTATGGGCAAGATTAAAGTTGACAACAGACAAACAGACAGACAGGACAAAAACAATATACCCCTGGGATCTTTCGATCTGGGGGCATAAAAAAAATCATGTCTTTTTCTTTTTATATGAAAAATAAATCATGATGATAGTTACTTCTTTGGATTGAAGACTCAGATCTTTATAAATCCAGATTTAACAAATCCTGTGTTTTCAACTTGGGGTTTAATTATATTAAAATATTTGATATTAAACAAGGATCAATCTCAACCAAAATGAAGCATATCATTAAACCTTGCCCTATTTATCACTGGGTGATAATTTCCCAGTGAAGAATGCAATATTGATGCACAGAACTTACAGTTATATTGACTCCGCCCTCTTGGTTAATGCGATACATGTGTTTGTGAAACTCTGGTCCATGTCCATCATGATCCTGAAAGAATTTACAATTTATAGTAAAAATAAGTGCAAAATTACTAGGGATGTCAAATTGGTCAATTTTTGGTTACTCGGATGTTTTTCCAATCGAGTACCCGGGTACTCGGTAAAAATGAAAATACAAGTGTGTTAATTTTCTTGAGCCCCATTAAGCTCTGTTAAACCCCAATGCTGTTTTTACCACGTTTATAAATGTATATAAGCAATCGAGTGCAAGGGAAATGATTTTTGGTAATGAAATTATTTATAAAATAAACACAAGACACAATAAATACCTCACAAAATTACAAATGGTTTACAGTTCTTGTTTAGATCTATTTCATCAATGCAAAAAGGAGGACAATCTGTTGCGCAGGTTTGTGGTGATTAGACTAGCGGACGTTGTTGGGATCGCTAGTCTAATATTATTCCATGAGTTGGTTGTTTCCCCCATATACACTAAACTCACTATGGCAACTGACTTTCAACATTTTTTAATCTTTAGTTATTTCTAAATATTTCTTCACCTTTGAAGTGGATAGCTTCATTTCTATGCATTTCCAACCCTGCCGTATATTAATTAAATAATTTAAAAATGATTTGAAAATAATAGACAATATGTAAACGATGTTCACTGAAAACAATCATTAAAGCCACCCAAAAATTAAGGACCACAATAGGTGAGAATAGCTGTCTACCGGGTGATTGATCACTAATTACTGGAAATACACAGCCACAGGCAATATTGGGTGATTCACAGGTGTAGACAACGACATGCTAATTACCTATGCATATTTAAGTTATTTTTTGATATGTTTTTGATAAAAATATGTACTTTGAAATAAGAACAATTACACTTCCGAGTAACCGAGTACTATTTTTAGTATTCGATACTCGGACGTTCAATCGAGTACCCAGTTAACCGGGTACTCGTTGACATCCCTAAAAATTACCTATATTAGGTAGTTACTATATAGTAAAATTCAATCATAAGGTGCTTAAATATAAAGAAATCTTGATTAAAAGTAAGTTACAGCTTTTCCCCATCCTTCATATCAGGAACTAAAAATTCATGTCTCAATAATTCCTTATACTGATAAGTAAGTTTTACTGTATTCATTCATTTCCAATGTTAGATATATCTTATTGTTGAAAATATATACTGTCTAATAAATAAAGTGTGAATTTGTTACATACTTTATTGTTGTCTGTGACAAACAGATAGGCATGGATCATTTCATGCTGAAAGTAGACATAGGTTTTAAAAATATGTAATTTCATCAGATTTTATTTCTATCAAGGGTATATATTGATAAACAAGAAATTTGTCCATATGTATTGATAAACTAGAAATATGTCCATAGGACATGAATGCCTCGCCGAAGTATATCAGTAATGCAACATGAAAATTTGCATTAGTGTATGAAATTTGATGAGAATATCTTGAATAGTTTCTTTAAAATTGAAATATTAAAAGTTGGATATAGATGATAAATTCTTATCAAATTATGTTTAAGTGTATAAGCTTACATAAATATATCTTAAATAGTTTCTTTAAAACTAAGCAAAATGCAAACTTACGAAAAGTGAGGTCAAGGTTAAAGAAAAGTTCAAGGTCAAACATTTTTGATGCAGTTGAATAGTTCTCACAAATACATATCAGCATCGTTTAATAAAAATATTTTGAATGGTTTATTTAAAACTGAGCTAAACACTAATAATGAAGTTAAGGTCAAATGAAAGGTCAAAGTCAAAAAATGTTGATGCAGTTGAAAAGCTTACTTAAGTATGTATTAGCATATGAAGCTTGATAAAAATATTATGAATGATTTCTTTAAAAGTAAGTTAAACACAAATTGATAAAAGTGACGTCAAGGTCAAATGAAAGGTCAAGGTCATAATTTTGATGCAGTTGAAATGCTTACATCAGTATGTATAAGCATATGAAGTTTGACACTAATTTAAGAAAAGTGAGGTCAAAAGAAAGGTCAAGGTCAAAAAATGTTGATGCAGTTGAATAGCTCTCATCAGTATGTATCAGCATATGAAGTTTGATAAAAATATCTTGAATGGTTTCTTTAAAACTGAGCTAAACACTAATTCAAGAAAAGTGAGGTCAAAGGAAAGGTCAAGGTCAAAAAATGTTGATGCAGTTGAATAGCTCTCATCAGTATGAATCAACATATGAAGGTTGATTACACTATCTTGAATGGTATCTTTAAAACTGAGCTAAACACTAATTTAGGAAAGGTAAGGTCAAGGTCAAAGGAAAGGTCAAGGTCCAAAAATGTGATGCAGTTGCATAGCTCTCATTAATATCTATCAGCATATGATGTTTGATGAAAATATCTTGGATATACTTTGAAACTGAGCTTTGAACTGAGCTAAACGCAAAGCGCAACGGAAGGATGAAAGAACGGAAGACGGACATAACAAACACTATATGCCCCGGCCATATTCATGGCAGGGCATTAAAAACAAGTAGAAAATAAATTAATACAAGAAAAAGATTCAATATTAAATATAACTAAATCTGTAAAAACAAATGAAGAAATCAATCTTTTTACATAGATTCAGCTTACAAGTAGGGTTTGTACAAGATCTCGTCTAGGTCTCAATTTTAAGAGAGGTAAGCTTAATCTGACAGAGCACAGCCCACCTCTCCCCTCATATACACAGAGTCCAGCACACCTACAAATAAACAATTGTACAGACTGACGAGTGTATAATTCAAAAACTTACACGGTATGAAGAATGTTATACACGTATTTAAACAATAAAATGCTTTTGTTTCAACTCTGTTAGTACGGGAATTAATGTTGCAGCCAGCTATTCAAACAAAAACAATTCCTGAAAAACTGTACACATGTATTTAACTTTCTAAAACTTCTAAATCAGATGCAAATACATGTGTATAACTTCACAGTATGTGTGCTAAAATTTAATTGTAGAAGAAGCTGAATATTTTAGTTAATCAGAATTATGCTTTTAAAACTCTTTAAGTATTTGCATGGTTGATTTACTAGTAAGCACTTCTACACGATTAAAGTCAGCAAACTTACAGAGTCATTCTCGGACTCCATTTCACTTCGATCCCGGCCAGACGCCCCCAGAAGAATCTCTCGTTGTATTGGAGGAACAAAGCCCTGATGTCAGGGTTGGGGTCCATCAATTCCCAGCTCTCATCTGCCAGAGACAGTGACCCACCCTTACTGGATGACTGACCACTGCTGCTCTGGACATAAACATCGCCATGTTCTCTGTCAAACTCCTCCTGAAGTTTCAAGGCCAGCGCAAGGTCCTGGTCCATTTTTTCCTCTAATAAAATTTATTGGTTCTGAGGGTCATACATCCTTCCAACACATTTTTGAAACAACCCTCTCTGCAAATGAATAAAATGAATTTGAATAAAATGTGAACAATATCATTCTACATGTAGTATATTAGTAACATTTTATTTAGCAAAGGTTTACTAAAAATTGTCACACAATAAAATTATTGTCAAAACAATGTGCTAAATGATTGACACATCTATTAACTGAGAGAATTGTAGACTGTATTATCAAACCAAACTGCACTTGCCCTAATGGTTTCATCATCTGCATATAATAAAATATATTGAAACTAGAAATATGTCCATAGGACATGAATACCCAAACCAAGGTACATTTGTATTGCAACATGAAAACCCACTTTGTCTCAATTTGTCTTAGTATACAGTTTTATTTTATTAAAATATCTTGAACACTTTTTTGGAAACTAAGAACTGCAAAATATGGGAATTTTCTGAAGTCAAGATCTATCTCAAAGTAAGATTAAAAAAGATTAAAGTAAGATTAAAAAAATGACACAGTTGAATAGCTCTCACCAATATGTAAGCTAAAAAAAATTTGATTAAAATATCTTGAAAAGTGAAGTTAAGGTGATTTAGAAGGTCATAGTAAGAAAATTATGACAGAATATTATAGAGCAGTTGAATAGCTCCTGCAAATATGTATCAGTGTATGAGTTTTGATAAAATATCTTAAATAGTTTCTTTGAAAGAGAGCTAAACATAAAACAAGATTTAGTGGTGTCAATGTCACAGGGAAGGTCAAAGTCAGAAGATTGTAAAACAGTTGAATAACTCATATGTAACAATGTATTAGTTTTGATAAAAATATCTTTAATAGTTACTTTGAAAGAGAGCTAACCACAGTGAGGATTAGTGAGGTCAAGGTCACAGGGAAGGCCAAGGTCAGAAAATTACGACACAGATAAATAGCTCCCACTTATATTTAACAGTGTATGAGGTTTGATAAAAATATCTTGAATAGTTATGCAAAGCGCTGCTAAACGAAGTGTGAGCTTTGCAGGGGCACAGAGAAAATCTGATGTTCTGCACATTGATGCATTTGCAATTTTTTCTCAGTAAAATTAGTACTCATTAATGAAGTATGTGACGTCACAGCCTAGGCAGAGTGCGTCCAACCTTCCAAATCTCTCAAGTGGTTTGAAGAGGCAGTACAATTTTTTTTAAAAAGTTAATAAAACTAGAAGGGAGAAAATATATGGCTGGACCATGAATCGAACCCAGGACCCCTGCATCACTAGTCAGGTGCTCTACCGACTGAGCTACCCAGGCTGATATCCACGGCCCAAACCATTACATTCCTCCCTCCTTAAAGGTTTTGATAGTGTCCATTAATAAACAGCTGATAATTATACACAACTGCACTCGCATCAATTAAGGCTGCACTGTCAAACATATTTTAAATCCATGTATAAAATTTTTAGAAAACAACAACTTTTGGCAAATAAATTTTTTGGATACATAAAAACCTTTCCGAAGCACAAACCACAAACATATAGAACATTGGCAATTTGTCAAAGCAAACTGCCAAAAACCATTTGTGCAAAAATTGCACATCTGAATGTCTTTATTTTTTAACTACAGGTTACTTATAATACCAGTAATCTAATTGTGTCTCAGGACAGACCCTCACAAACTGGGTCAGTAGGACATGTATAATATTAATGATAGAACATTCAAACACTTTTTAAAATATCTTTGGAATCATATTACCAGTAAAAGCTTGCAACACATAATTTGACAACATGTCATGTGCATAGACTGAAGGTTCATTGATGAAGCTTACACAGTCGTGTCTTGGAAAAAAAAAAAACAAGAGGCCCATGGGCCACATCGCTCACCTGAGTAACTTTGGCCATGTTGTTCTTTACCAGATTTCCCCCCTTTTAATATACCTATTGTGGCCCAACCCTACCCCCGGGGGTCATGATTTGAACAATTTAGAATCTACACTACCTCAGGATGCTTCCAAATAAGTTTCAGCTTTATTGGTCCAGTGGTTCTTGAAAAGAAGATTTTTAAAGATTTTTCTTATATATTTCAATGTAAACCTTGGAATCCCTTTTGTGTCCTGCCTTACCCCCGGGGGTCATGATTTGAACAATGGATGCTTCCACTTAAGTTTCAGCTTTTCTGGCCCAGTGGTTCTTGAGAAGAAGATTTTAAAAGATTTTTCCTATATATTTCAATGTAAAACTTGGATTCCCTATTTTGGCTCCGCCCTACCCCCAGGGGTCATGATTTGAACAATTTAGAATCTACACTACCCCAGGATGCTTCCATATAAGTTTCAGTTTTTCTGGCCGAGTTGTTCTTGAGAAGAAGATTTTTAAAGATTTTTCTTATATATTTCAATGTAAAACTTGGATTCCCTATTGTGGCATGCCCTACCCCCGGGGGTCATGATTTGAACAATTTAGAATCTACACTACCCCAGGATGCTTCCATATAAGTTTCAGCTTTTCTGGCCAAGTGGTTCTAGAGAAGAAGATTTGTAAAGATTTTTCTTATATATTTCAATGTAAAACTTTGATTCCCTATTGTGGCCCTGCCCTACCCACGGGGGTCATGATTTGAATAATTTATAATCTACACTACCCCAGGATGCTTCCATATAAGTTTCAGCTTTTCTGGCCCAGTGGTTCTTGAGAAGAAGATTTTTAAAGATTTTTCTTATATATTTCAATGTAAATCTTGGATTCCCTATTGTGGCATGCCCTACCCCTGGGGATCATGATTTGAACAATTTAGAATCTACACTACCCCAGGATGCTTCCATATAAGTTTCAGCTTTTCTGGCCAAGTGGTTCTTGAGAAAAAGATTTTTAAAGATTTTTCTTATATATTTCAATGTAAAACTTGGATTCCCTATTGTGGCCCCGCCCTATCCCTGGGGGTCATGATTTTAACAATTTAGAATCTACACTATCCCAGGATGCTTCCACATAAGTTTCAGCTTTTCTGGCCCAGTGGTTCTTGAGAAGAAGATTTTTTAATGTCGACCCCACCCTATTTTTGTCTTTTCTTGATTATCTCCCCTTGTAAGGGGACTTGGCCCTTTATTTTAACAATTTACACTCCCCTTCACCCAAGAATACTTTGTACCAAGTTTGGTTAAAATTGGCCCAGTGGTTCTTGAGAAGAAGTTGAAAATGTGAAAAGTTTAGAGACGGAGGGAGGGACGGACGGCCTGACGAACGACTGACAAAGGGTGATCAGAAAAGCTCACTTGAGCTTTCAGCTCAGGTGAGCTAAAGAGGCTAAGACAATTTTGTTTTGAGCTTAATGCAAACAATTTTTTACATTAAACCAAAAATTTGTCAAAATCCAAAAGCAAAAATAATGACATAATTTGAAGGCTTGCATTTTTTTTATCTTAGTATAAAGAAATTATCCAAATACAGGTAATGTTCACCAACATCGTCTCAAGCCATGGTCCGGAGTCTGCTCATAGCTCTCTCCAGAATGGGAGAGGATCATAGATTTTGGCCGTGGTTTGCAACGATGATTCACCAACTGCCCTCCCTATGCCAACTTCTTAATACAAAATGACATATATAGTACAATGAGCCACCATCAGAGCCAGAATGACATTTAGCCAATGAAATGCTAATTCTACCTTTGTAAAAAGTCTTTACAGATTAAATTGCAACAAAGAGCTAAGCCCACGAAGCATCAAAAACGGCCTCTTCTCAAAAATTAAGGTTATGTTTATCATAGATAACGTAGAATTTTCGCTTTCAATAACCGTTTTCCTTTTTTCATATCTATTATACTTTTTGAAAAATAGATATTGCAATATGGCAGTGTTTTGATAGAAAAATGCAAAAGGAACATCATTTTTTGTAATGTAACGTCACATCAAAGAGCAATATAAAAATGACTTAAAGTTTGCAATTTCAATGTAGCAATGTACGAATTTCAGACTTGAAATTGAATAATTGGAGATAGATATTTATTTAATCAACACGATTTGATTTAGAACCATAATTTAAAAAAGCAGATAAAAGTGTTCATTTGATATATCAGTCAATTCTGACTGGATAGAATTGAAAAAAAAATCTTTTCAACGGAAAATGACTTCAACTGCGGTATTTTTAGATCAATGAAATAGTAAATATTTTAGCTTTTAAAAAATCTAAAATAGATATCTAAATAAATTATCATAGAAAAAAATAGCCAATGGAAGTTAAAAGGATGTATTTCCTAAACATTTGTAACAATAAATTGAACATCTTATCATTTTCGTTCATGTAAAAGAGAAACTGAAAGGAGTTTCGTAAAATATGGAACTCATTCAAAACTTGTTATTCCTAAATACAAATTTCTTTTTGGAAATAATTCAATTATATTTAAAATAAAATCACCTAAAAACAAAAATGTTAAATCTGCTTAAAAATTGAATATCTATGCTATTGACTTAGATGAATTCACCAGAATTCCCCACATTCCATCAAAGAATAAACAGAGTATATATCAACTGAAATATAAATATAGGTATTACCCGATTTGTTGTTCGAAATACATGTAAATGTATATATTTACTGCAAGAAATAAATAAAGGTAGAAATTTGTGTTATACTTGATTATAATTTTGAACGTATATAAACAAAGAGAGTACATGTAACATCAAGATAAATTCTTACATCTATACTGTTAAACAACTTTGATGAATACGCATGAGAGATATATCCGCAAGATTCGCACGTACCCCAAGCTCGCGGATATTTATCTTCATGAACCAGCCAATCGTTAGGCCATATTTTATTCCCGTAAAATAATAAGTGTATGCAGGACAGTGATTCATGGCATGTTGTAAAGTGGAGATAAATAAATGATGTTTCTGTTTGTCTTCTCAAAACTTATCAGTATCTATTTACCTATAAATATAATAAATTTAGTATGTTTTATTGATGTATTGCTTTACATTCACTGCTTTCAATTTCATTTTCACATTATGATTTTTATGTGAATAAATAGAGCAGTATTGCGTATGTAATGCTCGTACACGTCAAGATAGGAAGTTAGAT